GAGAAAGGGAGACAGTCACGGAGCAGGGAAGAGCAGGGAAGATCGGAGTGGCCACAGTGACCCTGAGCAGCAGACACTCAGTGGGGAGGACTCCATAAAGATCAGGAAAGAGTTTTCTCAGAAACTACCTGAGGGCAGAGCCGATGGAAGAGAGGCGGGACACAGGCCCTCACACACACGGGCGGGGGCGGGGATGGTCGCTGGCACAGTGTCCCCTCTGCACTGAGGCGGGTGAGAACAATGAGCCTCCTGGACTCTCCTGTCTGCTCCGCCCGCAGAGATTCTTGGGTCTGGGAAACGGAGAAGCTACAAGATGAACGGAGCCTGGGTCCCCCCACAAAGGGGGACATCTGATGGCACAGAACCTCTGATCGTTCTCTAGGAAAAGGCACCGGGCGTGAGCCCCGTCTGACCACCGCTCACAAGCCACCAGTCTCGAACAGAAACGCCAGGTTACGACTGGCCAGGCTGCAAAAGCAGACACGCAGAGTCAAGGGGCCCTGGAGGCAAGGGGGTAACGCAAGAGGCAGAAGAAAAGCTCAAGCTCAGATTCACCAGGAGAGTCGCGATCTCGCGGAAAGTACAATACAGTGTAGCAGATAAAATACAGGAGGAAAACAGTGACGAAAACTAGATTTTAATCCAAGAGTTCCAATATTCAAAAAATAGGATCTCGAGAAAAACAGAGACAGTGCAGAAGAGAAAGTCATCAGAGGGATAATACGAGAAAAAGTTTTTCCTGCAACGGAAGAACGTAAGCGCCTGATGGAAGAGTGAACCAGGATCACCACATCCTGACCGCTAGGACCGCTCAGAGCAAGAGCCCAGCCCTGCCAGAGGGAAAGCAGCCCACGCTCAGCAGCAATCGACGGCAGAACCAGGCCTGACTTTCGCAAAGCACTACTGAATCTTAGAAAACAACAACAGTGGAACAAAGTCTAAGGAAAAATATAATTATAGGACCAGTAAAACCAGCAATCAAATAAAACTGCAAAATAAATTTCCAACATACAAGATACATATTTTTCAATGACCTCCACGTACTCTTTCTTGGAAACTACCCGAGGATGGGACCCTCAGAAGGAATAAACAAGAAAGAAGCCAGCTTGGGCTGCCAGCGGCAGCGAACCCAACACGAGAAGAAGGGATTCTCAGGGTGGGGGTGAGCACGCGTCCCGGGACAGCAGCTCTGCGGCTCACCTACAGAAAGACCAATCTGGGGTTGAACCAGCGGCAGCGGGCCCTGAAGGGAGGCCCCAGGGGGAGGGGAGGGAGAGGTCAAATGATGGATTTCATACATTTGGCAAAGTATAAAGTAAGCATTTTACAGTTCAGCTGTAGATCTGGAATTAACTGGTACGTAGCAAACCAAGAAAAACAAAACATTAGGTATTAACTATAAGAAAAAGTGTGTTGCCAGGTAAAGAGTTATTTACACGACTTGACTCAGAGTGAGCACTATGCACATTGTCATAACAACGTAGACATGGACCACTGGGTTACATGTCAGGGTCGCCGAGGTTCCAAACATCTGGGAGGATTTTCCTGGACAAAGGGATGGGTGGATGGTGGAGATAACGGAAGCCAGGGACTACAGCTTCGGTTCATCACAAAGAGCCAAATAATGCCAGTCACATATGTGCACACAGAATAATGATCACTAATTAACAAACATCTTTATAGTATCATACCCAGCTGTAGAACTCAGTAACAGAAAGAAAGCTGCTCAATAAACTTATCTGGGACCTGTTGATATTTGTCAGACAAAGAGCTACGAGAAATAGAAATCATAAGAATTTTCCAGGTAACCTTAAAACAGATGTTCTTATATACCACCAAAGGAAATAAAAGAGTGTATTTTATTAATTTGGGCTTGAAAACTATTAGATGAGAAACTTCAAAGAAACAGACTGAACCACCACAAACTGTCAAACCATTCCCAGCTTCCAAGTAGGGGCACGATTCTCCACGGAAGATGACGAATCCAGGAGAGACGTGTGATCACAAATGCAGACATTCGAGGAAACAGAAATGCCACACAAACAATGTCACCTTTCATTTCAATTTGTAAAGTAGCAACAAACGAATTCTAAGGAAAGTTAATTGATGCAGAGCCTCTTGCAATGATTGTAACATCAATGCACGCATGAGAACTAGACATGGATCGAACAGGACCCTGACAACGGCCACAGGAGAGAGAATGAACGCCTACATGTCGAACGACAGCAAACCATGCCCGCAGAAGCATCGCCATGAGAACAGCAAATCCTGGCAACCTCAGAACCTTTAGGAAATGAACTACCCCAGAAAAGAGGGTGTAATGTCTAGATCCTTCTGAGCGCCCTGTTCTTTGAAATATTTTTATGAAACTTTTTTATGAAATATAAATACCATCTTCTTTGGAAATGGAATAAACAGCTTTTTCTTTGTTACTCAAGTGTCTTTAAATACATATTAACTAAAGCTGCGAATAACTGAATCACTATCGGAAAGAGTATCTAAACACATTCACAGAGGACGAGTGGGTGGTTGTGAGCACACGCTGTAGCCTGTGTTCAAATCCCGACTCTGTAACTGACTAGCTATGTGGCCGTGGGAGAGTTATTTAACATCCTCGTGCCTCAGTTTCCTCGTCTATGAAATGCTTAACTATCTCACAGGGCTAACCTATCGATTAAATAAGTTTATGACAGTAAAGAGCTTAGGCTAGAGCTGGATACATAATACGTGCTGTATATGTATTTCTTCAGTAAACAAATAGCTCTAAATTAAGAGGGAAAGCTTCAGATGAGTCTGCTGGAAAAATATTTCCTAAACTGCTAAATGCCAATAAAGTTTATGTGATAGAGAATATATTATTATTGTTCCTTTCATATATGGCAACCATAAGCTATATGTTTCTCTTTTATAATTTATTTATTCACTTAATTCAATTAAAAAATATTTTCTGCCCCACCAGTGTGGCTCAGTGGATTGAGCGTCATCCCATGGACAGAGAGGGCCCAGTTCGATTCCCAGTCAGGGCACGTGCCTGGGTTGCAGGCTCGATCCCCAGTGGGGGGTGTGCAGGAGGCAGCAAATCAATGTTTCCCTCCCACATCGATGTTTTTCTCTCTCCCCCTTCCGCTCTAAAGAAATCAATAAAAGCATAATAAAAAATATATACACTTTCTGACGGCAGGTCTTCTTCCGGCACCTTGCAAACTCGACCTTACTCTGATCTCAGAGAAGACAGTGCCTCCTTCCTACCCAACCACTTCTTAAACATTCTTCTATATAAAATCTCCTTTTCAGTGAACCTGATAAAACACCGCACTCCCCTGTTACCACCCTGAAAGACCTTTGTTACATTATATATTTTTCATAATGTAAAGGCAAACTAAAGAACTGGCGGTAGCTCTTTCTTCCCACATCATTTATTCAAATTCTATAAAACCTCGATGTTACCAGGTTCCACCCACGATTTAGATAGAGCTCTCATACAGCTTTGCTGCCCTCCAGACTTAGCCACGACAGCCTAGGACAGCGGACAGGTGTCCTCTGCAGCAGGCATTGTACCTTCAGCCTTTGAGATGATAGTTAGGTCAGGCATTTAAGAAAATGATACTGAGTGATGACTTTAATAAGTGCACAGAAATTCTTCTTGCAATGAAAAAAGTAGCATAACTAAGATTAGCAACTGAGCAATAATGTCATTTCCATATTTTAACTTCTCTCACTTAAAATCTGATCTCGCAAATGCAGTGAGGCTGCCACAGGACAGCGGGGCGGTGCTCGGCAGAAGTGCCATTTCCCTGCCCCCGCTCAGCAAGTGCGCGGCGCCGGCCTTGCTCCCTCCAGCCGGCCTCCTGTCCCGACTCCCATACGCTCCTGGAAGTTTTGCTATTGTTTTGGTTTTTTTCCTTTTTGATTTTAGAGAGAGAGGAAGTGAGAGGGAGATAGAAACATCGATGAGAGAAAACATCAATGAGAAAGAACATTGACTGGCTACCTCCTGCATGCCCCCAACTGGGGAATCAAACCCGCGACCTCTTGGTGCATGGGTTAATGCTCAACCACCGAGCAACACCGGCCAGACAAAATTTTTCACATCTGTTCATCACACATTTTCATTTCAGTCTCCCCCAATTAAATCATTAAAAGAACTTTCTTAGAGCTAAGTCAGAAATATTAGCGTCAAAGTATCTTAAATCTACATGCAAACATATTCTCAACTGATCTGCTAACTACCTCAGTTGATAAATATTTATCAAGTAGCTACTGTAATCTCACACACTGAGCTAAGAATCCAACAGAGGCACTAAAATGAACTGCCATGCTCCCAAAGCAGACGACGACAAGAGAACAGCAGATTCAAACTCTGAACTCAAACTGAAAACCATACATATACCTATGCTCACACTTCTGTACTACAAAGAATCAGCAAGCAGCAAAAAAGACAATTCTAAGGATACGCTCATGGTAAAACAGTTCAACAAGTATACAATGTGGAGAATTGTAAAAAAAAAAAAAAAAGAGAGAGAGAGAGAGAGAGAGAAAGAGGAATAGAAAAACCCTTAGAAAATTTGTCAATCTTACAGTTTTAGGAATGTTGCTCAATTACAAAGTCAATTAGGTCAGACAGTAAATATCTCCATAAAATATAGTTCTAACATTAGCAAAGTGAGGGCCACTAACACCATTTGATAATGAGTGTTCCTTTCCATTATATTGTATATAAATAATATATATTGCTTATGCTCAAACATCTAGGAATAGTTAAAACTTATCAACTATGCCCACCATGCTCTATTTAAACCTCTCAAATTATTTTCAATTTGGCTGGCCAAGACAATAGCGAAATCATCCAAATAGGAAGTAATTTTATATCTACAAGTCGATATATCAGAAATGACACTTATAAAACTGAACCAAACTTGAATGATAATCTCACTGTGTATATTATTCTAGTATATATTATTATAAACACATACTAAAATGTTCTCAGTGGACGGTCTTACCTTAAGTATGTGCCATAAATGAAGAATAATGCCATCATCAGTCCATTTAAAAGAAAAATTACAGCAACATAAAAGCAAGCAGGATCTCCCAATCCTTTAAAAATAAACAAAACATATGCTCCAGAAATTACTCTATGCATCTGGCAATTGACATTCAAACACGCTTGTTTTGCAAATGGCTGCCAGACACATCCAACGGCTGCCTTGGCTCCGTCCGAGCCCACGACACTGCTGCGGACATCCGGGGGACAGGCAGCCGCAGGGGGACAGCCGGGGCGGGGACGGGGGGGAGGTAGGGGTCTCGCCCAGCTTCTGAGTCTGGCTGGGCTTGTGGCTACTTCAACAGAGCACGGAGCCACCCATGCGACGGCTGAGCGAGGTCCCCAGAGCGGTGGAGCCCCCTCGGGAAAGCTGACGGTGCTGTGCCCAGCCCACCGCAGGCCGCAGGGCCCCGCTGACGTGCCACCCGAGCCCGCCTCGCAGCCCCCAGCCCAGGGGCCGGAACGAGTGCAGCAGCCCCCAGTTAACTGCAGTCGGCCCCGCCGCTGAGTCTAGCCGAGGCCTCCGCCAGCCCTGCTACCCCCCGCCCACAGCCCTGGCCCCCTGAGTCCGAAAGCAGAATAAAAGGGCGGCTGTTTATACCGTGAGGTTGGGGTAAGTTTACTGAGCTGCGGGAAGGAACTGGACAAGATCACGGAGAGAAACTTGCCTTCACAGCTTTCAATTGGACTGAGTCCTTCTCCTCTGGTAACCGTCCAACAGATCTTGGTTTGAATACCAATAAAATCCATTATTTTGGTATAAATTCGGTACCAGCTGGCTAAGATGACCTAGTTTTTTGAAAAATAGAGATATTATGAGAAAAGATATTATCCTCAACAGTTTCATTAGAATATTTTTAAGATACTGAATAATTATCAAATTTTCCCTTCTGGTACCATCCATTTGGCATCTCTGAAGTCTAGTATGATGAGCCTTACAGTCTCTAACACCGATTCTGCACTGGTCAGTCCTCAACTGTTCACCCATGGGCAAGAATAAAATATAACCAGAAACACGCAAGATTTATATTTTCAAACACCATAAAACTCTACTAAGGAACATAAAAGAATATTGAACAATCAGAAAGATACTATGTCTTACTGAATAGATTCAAGATGTGTATTCTCCCTCAAATTAATTCATAAACATAAAACAATTCTAATAAAACCTCAAGTGTCTGTCTGGAACTGTTATCTAGAAGAATAACAAAAAGGAGACAACCGAACAGAATGTCCGAACACACGTAAAAGGCATTAGGTACCATTAAAACGGCGTGACGCTGGTACAGCACTAGCCCAGCAGGTCGAGTGACCCTCCTGCAGGCGGTGGGTCACAGGACCCTCCAGGGCTGCGGCCCTCGTGCCCTGGGCAGCTGGGAGGGTTTCAGCTGACAGCTCTCAGCTGGGTGCCTGCCTGGGAACTACCTTCTGCTAAGGCGTAAATTCACTGTCAGGCCACCACCCAAAGACAACTGCACCCTTGACTGGCTAGTCCCAGGGCCCGCCCAGCTCGCGCTACCCTGGGATTGGCTGGAGCTCTGCCGAATCCTGCTTCCCTCCTCCCCCTTCAGGCACCGACCCCAAGGGCACCCCTATACACATCCTACAGAAAATCTGCCTCAAAGTCTGCTTCCCAACCTCCACCTAAGGCAATACCACACACAGAGACCAAAACCAGAAGCAAGCACAGATGTACAGTAACTGTACATCGTGATGAACATGGGCAGAAGTGACATGTCCCAGTGTGAGGTGACACCGACGACCACTGTGAAAAAACATGACAAGGTGTCTACCCCACACTACACCAAAACAAATCCCAGAGCAATTAAACATGTAAATATTAAAAACGTAAGTATCACAATTAAAAAGAATGAAGACTTTTACACGTCTGAATAAAAGAAAAATAATAAATTAAGACAATTCACAGACATGGTATTTCTGTACAGAAAAGAATATGTGCACCTCAGACACAAAGCTAAAGGCAAACACACAGCTGGGGAAGTGTTTTATCCACATAACACAACCTTAACAACCTCCACATAACAAAGGAGCTCATACAATTTCAACGGATACATAGACAAAGGACATAAAAATGCATTTTTAAAAGTGAAAACGCATTTTTTATAAATTCACACACACACACAGTACAAAGGATTCCTCAAATTAGCAAGGATTCAGGTAAATGAACATTTTAAAAAACACTGCTGGTTGGCATTTCTATTGGCATAACCTACCTGGAAACCATTTTGGCAACATGACCACGATCACTCTAGTATGTATTCTGTTGAATTAAATAGCTCCACGTCAACAAAGTTATAGTGTAAAAACTAAGGATACGTGTAAAGACTGAGTTCAAAGATGCTTGCTGCAGCGTCGGAATATTCTAAAAGGCTGAACCAAGCAGAATTTTCATGAACGATGAACCAAAGCAGCATGGCACAATGCACACACTGCCATTAGAAAGGACGCCATGGGAGAGAAGATGACTTAGAAAAATGGTTACAAATGGCCTTAAAAAACAAAAGGCATTTAGTTAAAAACTTATGTGCCATGTGATCCCATTTTTCTTGGGTGATCCTATTTCTGCAAAAGTAAATACGTGTGTGGTTACAGAAGTACTCAGTAGGCAGGAAAACACTGAACCCGGGTGGTTATTCATTGGTCTGTCTGCTCACTAGTCAGTCGGCTGCGTCACTGACTTGGGAGTGCGACTCCTCCCACTCAGTGGGAAATGACAGGAGCCCCACGCTGAGCCAGGGTTTGGGACCCCGGCAGAGACCAAGGCAGCCCTGGCCCGGCAGCAGGCCCGTGCTGTCCAGCAGCGGTGTGCTGGGAACTGGGGGCAGGGAAGTGTGTGGCTGGAGAACCCCTGTCCCATCAAGGGGGCAGCACTGAGGAAGGCACAGCGGGGTGGACCCCGGGAGGACGCTCAGGGCTGTCCCTTGAAAGCAGGGATGGTAACAGAAAGGCCAAAGCAAGTTCCTCACTCACTGCCTTCCCCCTGCCCTCCTCGGGGCCACCGAGAGAAAGACACCGGGTCCCAGACAGGGAAGAAACACGAGCAGGCCAATGCCGTGTAAAACGAACCACATCCGCTGCCCTAACCCACAAGCACACCATCTGGGTAACATTCCATTTTCTAAACCACGCGATCCTAACAGTTCCCACAGAGTCAGTTAAAGCCCTTCAAATTTAATGATTTTTTTCATATTCCCTTCCAAGAAGAGATACATTTTTAAAAACAGAATAAAATTTAATGTCTTGAATCATACCTTAGATTTAGAATTAGCATCTAATACAAATAGCACTTTTTCCAGTCAGAAAATCACAACTGAGAATATAACTTACCTCGGGGTAGAGATTGAACCTTTTCAATGTATTAATAACAAGGGGGTATTCAGTCAGCTTATCATTCATAATCATCCACACCCCGCTAAAAAATGAGGGGGCTTCCACAATAGTCTTGAAGTAGGAATAATATAATCCCTGAAATAAGCAGATATTATCATTATAATAAAAGGTACACGATTACTATGTCTCTTATTAGTTTTAAAGAAACTTAAAATGCAATGTTTTTGAGAACAAAGCAATCAAGCAATAGTTACAATCAACCTCGCAGGTTTCTATCCACTGGCACATTCTTAGATTGCGAAAAACCTGCACATGTCAGCACAGCCTGTCTTCACTGAAATAAGTGGGCTCCAGCGAGCTTCGAATGCAGTGTCCACATTAAAAACAATAATAGAACTCCGCGTGTTTCAGTCAAGAACATCTATAACCCACATAATGCAAGTGTTGGGGAAGGCTACCTATGAACAGGGCGAGTGGTTTACTATGAAACCTGAATACAGCGTGTACCGCAAATTCTTCCCCAGCCAAAAAAGTTTCCCCAACTGCTTATCTGAATCCTTGTTTTGTAGGTTTGATTTTGGAATCATGTAAATATCTTATTTAATTATCAAATAAAAATGTTAAATCCCTAAATAGCAAAAAAATTTTAAAAGAAAGAAATTAACAAGTTGGGAGAGGATTTCCAATAACTTTACGATGTAGCAGTTTTACTGTATATCCCTACTGTACATTGTACAAACTGAAGTGCAAGAAAGTCCTAAGTTGTTTTCAGAAATCATGTTGTTATCGTATGTTTAATAATACTTTTGGCGCTGTTATTCCTCAAAAGTAAGTGATTTCAAACCAAGATTCTCAGGCTAACAGAAAAGATACTAATTTAATACAAAATACGTAAACACATGAAATCCTAAATTTGAATTAAAAAAATATATAAAAATAAATTCATGATTTATTTTCTCTTTAAAAAGATTGTTTCCTAATTCTGTTTACCAACGAGGCCAATCTAGTATAAAATAGTAACACCAAATCTCTAGCGCCAAAATCATAGACTGCAAACTCCATCTGCCCCTGAACAGAACTGGGACTTCTTGGAAAACGAGACCCCGGCAGGGGGAAATGCCTTACACGCCACCAGAAAGTAAGGAGGCTACAGAATACTAGTGAGGTCACATCACGGGGACACAGAGCCGACTATAAGGCCTCACCACCTAAACACAAGCACGTTAACAAAACCTGTTAAAATCCATCAGATCATATTAAGACCCCCCCCAATAGAAAAACTCCTCTGGTCACCATGACAACAACATTTGAGAGAACCAACTCACTTTTTGGGAAAGTGATAACTAGTAAGAATCAGACACGAATTCGTCTTACCTGGATGAAGTGTACTTCAGAGAAACCAAATAAGTATCATGGGAAAGTTCTTTACAGAAGAATTACAGTTAATAATGCAGAGAAAGTACAGAATAGATACTCACCATGGGGAAACCCTAACGAAACAGCTGATCCAGGCTGATGGCTGGCTGATGACAATACCTAAAGCCACAATCAATCTTAACATCACAGACAGTGAGACAACCAGTGTGGTGCCTCTTCCTACGGCCGGTAAGTGCACTCAGCACCACCTGGGAAGTAGTCCTGCCCGCCCCATATCAAACCTCCAGCCGTCGAGACTCCTCTCTATCAATTTTCAGGAAACGTGGGACAGTAGAACATCATCATAAATAATATGAATTACTGTGGGTAATTCTATAGGACAAGTGGACAGGAATCCTCCAAAAATAAACAGCAGGGAAACCAAAACAAAAATGGGAAGAGGAACTTAATAGATTGAAGGACTTGAGAAAAATAAGAGACACAGCAACTAAATGCAATGTACAGACAGTGACTGGACTCTGACTCAAACATACCAACACACCAACCGTGAAAAAAAAAAAAAGGACCAATCAGTATGGTATATCTAGACAGTGATGATACTTGATGTTATGAAGCAATTGCTGTTTATTGTTTTCAAGTGTGACAAAGGTACTGTCGTTAACAAAAAGTCCTTCCCAAGAGATACGAATGAAGGTGCTGACAGGGGAAATGGTGCCTGGGCCCTCTGAGCGCGCACTGGGGCGCGGAGGTGCGGGGGGTGGGGAACGGGGGGCGCGGAGGTGTGTGTGGACGGGGAACGGGGGCGTGGAGGTGTGTGTGGAGAATGGGGGGACGTGGAGGTGCGTGTGGATGGGGAACGGAGGTGTGGATGGAGAATGGGGGGGCGGAGGTGTGTGTGGATGGAGAATGGGGGGTGGAGGTGTGGGTGGAGAAAGGGGGGGCGGAGGTGTGTGTGGATGGAGAATGGGGGGGCGGAGGTGTGTGTGGATGGAGAAAAACACGGGTCCCAGGTGCTGCAGGGGGGCGGGCGGGGATGGCAGGCGTCTACTGTTTCTACTCTGGAACACCTTTGAAAACATCCATAAGAAAGAGCTGAACACGGTTAAGATGACTAAACTACGACTTTCAGATGCCACATGGAAACGCACCATCTCCGTGCGAAAGGCCATCTCCCGCTCCAGCGTCGAGAGGTGAGAAAAGTGACGGTCGTTTTCGAACAGGTGTGTTAAGTGGCTCCTGCAAAACAAGGTCAACAGCGCCAGTGTCGAACTCACACTACATCATGTTGTTCAGAGAAACACTAGAAGCAAAAACAAAAGATCTAATAATCTGCCGATAATTTTGCAACAAAACTCAGGTACAATAGCAGCCATATTTGTCTTTTGCTCAGTGTGTCCTACATTTGTACTAAAATTTCTCCCTGTAAGGAAACACATTCAAATTAGATTTTAAAATTAGAATGAACCAGAATAATATTTTAAGCCAAGTACAATTAAATTATAAACTATAAATGTCAGTGTGTTACCATTTCAGAAATATCTGATTAATGAAATTCATATTTCTCTCTATCCAGAAGATTAAAAAACTTAATCTTCCTCGCAACACGAACACTACACTAATGTTGAACGAAGTAGAGTCTCCAATATAACCTCTTCAATTATGAATTTCTTTATTAAAAAATTACATTACTCTGACCCTGATTTGTCAATTAAACCACTTTGTCAGACTGCTGTGTTGCAAGTGATAATATACATTCATCCTTATCATACTGAAATTACTCCCTTATGGCTACGGGAAACAGCTATGGTGAGTTATAACCATTTGCATAAAACAGACCACATAAGAAAAACAATCTTACCAGTGCAACACTGCAGCAAAGGCAGCTGGAAGAAAAAAGAAATTTAAATTACTATGTTAACATAAAGAAATGTTTTCAACTTAACGGAAAACCATTACAAAGATATGCATGGTTAGGATGTGTAAGTGCTGGACTGTTGGGGAGCAGGAGAAGAATACTGATTCTTCCAAAGCAGCCCCAGGAACATGCGTAAAATACCAACAGGCTAAATTATAAAGGAATTAAGCATATGTCTACGGTTTTCATTCACTTGCTCTTTCAACAAAATATATGAAGGCCTATTATTTGCCAGAAACTGGACAAGGTCCCCTCTGATGGAAATACACACAAATAGAACCAACGGTGAGAAATAACTTGGACTAAAGTAGTGACTTCAGGAACAGGACTGAGGATGGATAAAAATAGGGAAATGTCACTTTTATACGCTGCTGTCATACCTGAATTTTTATAATATATTTTACTATTTTTAAACAAATTTAAAATGAAATAAAGAAGGAAGAGATTGAGAGGAAAACAGAATGAAGAAGAGAGAGAGAAAAGCTAATAATAAAGTCAGTATGTGAGAATTGTTTTAAAAACAACAGGCAACAAACCAAAGCTGGAGTCACCTTCCTGCAGCTCCACCTTGTCCAGGAACTAACCTCGCACCGGCCAACCTGGACGACCTGCCAGCACCAGTCGGGCAGCCACAGAAAGGCCCTTCCCCTGCCCCTTCGAGCAACCTTGGCCGAGACGCATTCTGTGCTAGTAATTTTTCTTCTGCCTCCTTTCTGCCTTTGAAACCTTCCCTTTCCTACAGCCCAGGGGAGCTCCTCTCTGTTCGCTGGATGGGATGCTGCCCAATTCATGAATCATTCAATAAAGCCGATTAGATCTTTCAAATTTACTCATTTGAATTCTTGTGATTTAACAGAATCAATAGTTTGCTTTCTGTCCAAGTACTAAGAATACAGTTAAGACGAACCCAGATGATACCATTCAATTCTCTTATATCACAAGGTTCGTCTTGCTGCAGGCTTCTGTTAAATAACTACCAAGGAATCGAACAATGAAAATACTCTTAGAAATGAAAACCAAACAGTTCAGACCTTTTGCCTTATTCTTTAAAAAGTGTGTGAGTGTGTGTGTGGGGGGTGTGTGTGTGTATACATTAAAATGTTGATGTTGGCGAAAGCTGGTATTACATATATGGTCATTGGTGACTTTATTCTCTGTGTTCATCTGTATGCTTGAAGTATTTTACATTTTTATTTTATTTCATTTTATTTATTCTTTTTTTTTATCCTCACCCGACGATGCTTTCCTATTGATTTGGGAGAGAGAAACATCAATGTGAAAGAGACACATTGATCAGTTGCCTCCCGCACAACCCCAACCAGGGCTGGGGGTTGAACCCAGGTAGGTGTTCTTGACTGGGAATTGAACGTGTGACCCTTAAGTCCCCAGGCTGATATTCTAACCACTGACCTTAAACAGCCCAGGGCAAGAAGTGTTTATTTTTTACAAATATATTTTGCCTAGGAGATATTAATGGTTATAAAAGATAGAGAGTTAATCTCCAGATCAATGAAACTGCAAATATTTAACTAGGTTTGTCATTTGACATTTGCTTATATGTGCTACTTTGACCTTTGGTGATTTTAATTTTTTTCTTGTTGACAAATACCATCCGCTTCCTTTTTGGTTAAAGATTTCACCCTACCACAATAAAACTTGGGCTTGACTTTCTCGGTGATCTAACGATAATGTTGTGAATAAGTCATTCTTCTCTCATAGAATATGAAAGCCACCTTTACCACACTGAAGACTTGTCACACTTCGGTAATCCCCTTGAGAATACAACTGGGATTTCATTCATAAATTAATTTGGGAAGAATCTACATGTTTACAATATAATTCCATATATTCACATCCATAAACATGATCTATACTGTCAACTGTTCTTTTTGTTTTTCAATTGCCCTTGACAATAATCCTAAAGTAGAGTTAATACATATTTAATAGTCAATTCATATTTCATATTACGTCTTCCTGAAAATTTAACATTCTTTCTTGCTAATATCCATGAAATCAGTTTTTCATTATATGTACTGGATATTGTTAACGTATTTACTTTTCATATGAAATTATTTTGTAATGCATGTATTTGTGACTTATTTACTAAACTATTAATTCAGAGTTGGTTTTTTTGGCTTATCATCTTCAATTCTCCATTTTAAACAATATTATTTAAAAGTAACAATGTTGCTCCCATTTTATAATTTTACTGTTTCTTCTTCCCATTTGACAATAATAAACTTGTGGAATACTAAATGATTCTCTACAAGAGAGCATCCTGTCTTCTGCAGACTTTAACAGCAATGCATTTCACATTATGCCTTTAACTTGGCCGTGACCTCCAGAATTCTGGAGTGATAAACAGGACTTCTCAAGAGAAGGATGAAAGGTACAGAGTGGCCTGTGGTGCCTCCTCTAACTCCTTTCTCTCAGCTCCTGCAGCAGTGGGGTGACCACGTCTCCGAGTTCTTGGCACTGAATGGCACTCCTTCATAGTCTCTGGGTCCACTGATGTGCCCATGTTCTGAATTCCTTTGTTCACTTCCATTTAGTAGTAATAATAATAAAGCAGTTAACATTTGAAGTCTTACTGCAGGCCAGAAACAGTCAGTGCTTCACTTGAGCTAGCTCAGTCCATCCTCACAGCTACCTGATGAGGCAGGCACAGATATTTCCCCAGCATACAGATGAAAAACTCAGGCCCGGGAAATCTGAGTAACTTGCCCAAGCAAACAGAGCAGGTACGGAGAGAAAGGAAGGTGCAGGCAGGGACTGTGACCCAGAGCCGTGCCTGCAGGGTCTTTGGGGACAGGGAGACAAAGGCCAAGGCCTCCTTATTCTCAACTATCTTATTCCCCTTCCCTCTTTTTTTTTTTTATACATTAAAGATAAAAGGGAAAAAGCTGAGATTCATCTGTTGATATAGGCAGTTTGTTGCATAGAAGCTACTTTTATATAAAAATGTAGAGCTAGGCTTTAATTTATTCAAACTGGAAATAAATTATATGTCTGTGTCATTTGGAAATGAAAGCACAACTAGCTTCCGCCTTGTGAACGTGGAATTTAAGCTTCGATACATAAAATGATAGAAACTTCTGAAGGTTCCGTAAAGAACTTGCCTTCCCTTCTTGCCCACAAAGAGATTAAAATTGATTTTCTCTAAATTTATTCTAGTGATTATCAAACCTGTTTATACTCTTTTCAGAAGTGTCACAAAATTGATAATCCATTTTTCCCATTTTAACACATATGCTATATTTTGTCATGCTAAGGTATTAAAGTAATAAATATAGCAAGTTTAAAAAAAAATCAGAACATAAAACTAAGTTTCAAGAAATCCAAAGCTACTCTATAGCAACAAAGTCTCCAAGGAAAGGTTTGCTCTGTGGTCTAACTCAGAAGACAGGTTCTATGGCTGAGGAGTCTGAAGGCTCTTATGCTTTGCTCGGAGCACGTACATTCCCAACACCCTGAAACTAAACTAAATTGGACACTCTTTCTACTTTGTGATTAAAGAAATTTTGTATCGGATTGTATGTCACATTACATAAATTTTCAGTCTTGTGGGACTTAGCAGCCTCTTCACAGAAAATTCTTCTTCTGTTATCAGAATCTTGTTTAAACAAAATAGAATGTAACTCCCCAAGGGCAGAAACGATTACTGAACTTTATCCTAGCACATAGCTGAGCACACAGCCAGACTCAAATGTTTGCTGAATGCGTCAACTTGATATAATTAAGGGGGAAAACGAAAAAATCCTAAATCATGTCCACATAATAACCCAAAGTTGAATATACTTTTTGACTGACATGATACACACATGTGCATGTAATAGTTGTTTTTTTTTATTTTTTGTTTCTTTTTTTTTCAAAAAATAGTCACCATTGAGTTAGTGCAAATTAGCCCCATGGTACCTGTCCTCGGCAGCCTGAAGCTGGGGTACCAGTAGCGGGGAGCAGGGCTGCGCTCCACTGGGCGTGGCTGCTATGGTTCTGAAGTAGCTCTTGCTCCCCCGATGCCCCTCCCTCCAACAGCAGCCCCCAAAGCCAGCCCTGGCCTTTGTTCTTGCCCCCCACAGGCAAGTCCCGCCCGCCTCGCCCCACTGCCTGGCTGCAGCAGCAGCAGCAAGGACAGCAGGGAGTGAGGAAGAAATGGGCCAGGTTCTTCCCTCCTGCTCTGATCAGTTCTCAAGGGCTCCTAGTCCCCATTCCCTCGGCCAGGCACCTGAGCTCCCTACCTCTCACCTCCTCTCCCGCCTCCTCCCTTCCCCACGTCCCCCGCCTCCGCCCTGCCTCCGCAGGACACTGGGGACTCCTGGGTCCTTCCCCAGGCCTCCCACCGCACCCCATCACGACACCAGGAAGTGGAGCCCTGTGATTTGCGCTTTTAAGATTCCTCAGCTGAGTCTTCCACACACTAGAGTCCTTCTTTCTCTCTTCCTCCTCCGGAAGGTACGGGAACAAGAACGTGAAGCCAGGGCAGGCTGCATCTCCAGTGCCCTCCTGTGCTAACCTGCAGCCTGCGACATGGCTTCCAGACTGTGAACACGTTTTCCCACCCTTGGGACCGTTTCCCTCACCTGCGACTTTACAACTGATATGTGCTTTAAGTCACAGAGCACCTCCAACGGCTCTCATCTGATCCGCACAGCAACCTGCAAGTAGTGAAAACTGGCCCCCAAGGTGATCGCTCCAAAGGCGCACAGCTGGTAAATGGCAAGGACTCTGGGAACCCAGGGGTCTAACTCCAAACCTCAGTTTCCTCTGGCCTCCCTCACAGAGCTGTCTCCTTTCCACTTGGGAGCGTTTGATGGGCTGACCTAGTAACACTATTTACATGGAGAAGGTACTCTAAGTCCAAAATGACTTGCAAATTTAAAAAATACAACTTATTCCTAAATTGAGGTTAATCCATGCTTAAAGTATTCTCAAGAGTTTTAGCCTCTCTAACCCTCAAGTGACAAAATGAC